AGGGTTCACGGTTTAGGGCTTAGGATGTTGGCCGAGAGCCCCCATAAACATCGATTGAAATGCACGCCATGTTCAAGTTATTAGGCCCCTATGTTATCTGCAGCCGCCGATATGTGTAGCATCAAACTATTACGGGCACCCGCTCAGGGTCCAGCAGCCCCCTCTGCAGGGGCCGCAGGAGCTGCCAAACCCCACCCTCAAGCCCAAACCTAAACCCTGAACCCTAAACCCAAGTCGCTAAGCTCAAAACTGTTTGTGGGTGCACAGTTGCCGAAGCTAGGAGATCGACAATGCGCCAGAAGAGCGTGCCCGTGGTATCACCATCAACGCTTCGCACATCGAGTATGAGACAGAGACCAGGCATGTCTCAGGTCTTGCGGTTTAGGGTTTAGACTTAACGATCCAGGAGCTGGAGTCCGGGAATTTGGACCTTGGATGTACCCGGCTTCTTGCGCTTAAAGGAAGTGCGGAAGGTCGGAAGCTTCCGTCTTTACGGGCTCGAGGGTTTCGGGTTAAGCCGGTGTGGCTCTTATAATCAAGAGTGGAGAGTTCAGCTATAGTAAAGGGCAGTTGGGAGGTCTAGGCCGGGTTAAGGGTTTAGGCGTGCGGGAACTTGTGCTACAAGAACATCTTTTGGAAGACAGAGTCCTTTTCCAAAGCCTAATGCTAGGGAATTCGTAAGGGCCTTACAAGACAATCGTAGGTTATGGCAAGTGTTTTCAAGGTTGGCCTATATAGGTGCAGGGTCTGCATCAGGCCCATAAACGAGAAGCCAAAAGCTACAACCTAAAGTCCCACGTCTTGGTTGAATCTCTTAACCCTAAATCATGAAACTCTAAACCCTTGTACCGCTTAACCTCCAGAAACTCGGAAAACAACCTGGTTCTGAAGTCCTAGGTTTCCAAGACTCCCTGAGCATACACATATATATATATATATNNTATATATGTATATGGAGAGAGAGAGACCCTTCCCTAGGAGTATTTCAATTTACAGTGTAATGTACCGTGTAACCTCTTGCAGAGTGTGTAGATTCGTAGAGTATTCCCGCCAATGTTGCCAGGCACTACTGCCATGTGGACTGCC